TATTTTTTAAAATTATTTTGTATTTGTTTTATGTTTTTTGCTAAATACTTATGATTCGCTATATTTTTAACTATCGTTTGGCATTCGCAATTACCAAAACTTTAAAAAATAAAATAAAAGTTATTTACTTCGTTAATGCTACTGTGTAACCTATTTATTCTAGGTATTTCAGTCACACAACTTATTAAAATCGCTTCACAGTTCATTTTGAAAATGTTTTTCTTACAAACTAATCAAACCAATTCCTCACAACTTAATTATTTGCATAAAGTTTACAATGTGTAAAAAAAACTCCCAACTTGTTATAATTAATAACACATACACATACATTGTATGTTGCTTTGATTCAATAAGTAGAACTGGAATTAATGAACTTTGAGATACAAACTTGAAGTGGCGAAATGGTATTTATGAATTTTGAGTTCCAATTTTACCCCTGTCCCCATCTATTTGACTTTTTTTAAAGCCTTCATGAACTTTCCAGGAATCAAATTATATTCTAAAATTTCCACTTGTATTCGTAATAATATTAAGTGAGTGTAATAAACAACCCGGTCAATCTTGATTTCCTAATTTTCAGACACAACTTAAAGTAGGAAATATATGATAACATTAACAAGTTGCAGATGGGGTAATTGTTAAATTGAAAAATGACGTACATGTAGTCACCTTAATCTCAGGATCTACATGTACAACTGTGCATTGTGCAATTATAGAATATGTGTTTGTGATGAATGTCAAATTAGTCCTAAATTGTTTATACTATTAATATAAAACCTTGAACTAACATAACATATTTCCATGTTAAATATTTTAAATATGTTAAAGATATGGGGCTAACACTTTGATACATTCATTGTTATTTAGCATATGTGGGGGAAATGACATATACAATTATGCGTATGCTAAGTTTAAATTATAAGATAAACAAGAGGCTGGAGTAGAAATAGAAGTGTATGCGGGGTGCTCATATAATTTATAAAATAAACTGGAGCGATTATTATGAATATCAATAGAACAATAATAAGAACTATGTCATGATTATATTTCTGCTTAATGGTGGTTGCCATGACATCCACTGATAAAGATTAAATGATGAGGCCAGATGGCAGGACTGGTTGGGATCCGTCGACACGTTCTCATGAGTTTGCGATTTCAAGCTTATGCGGTATCTTGGTCTTAGTCCAGAACTAATGATGTATATTGATGTCAACTGTGGAATGTTATTGCAAGCGCCCATAAATATAAACTGACGTTGACACTATGATAGTGATTTTCTTAATATAGTGACGATTAATCAATTGTGTTATGATGTGTAAAACTTTCGTTTGATTGGCTGTTTGTTTAGAGGCAACGCCTCAAAGTCTCTTATATTCTATTGTAATTGGCTAGTGGTTGACAAGTTAATAAAGTGATTTAAAGCTGTCTCGAAGAGGGTACACGAGGCAGTCGGAGAATCGAAGGTGACACGAATTGAGCTTCTATGTGTTTTTTGTGAGTCCAACGTGGAGAACATCCGAATCCCGGTTACCTAAGTGAAAGGTTTCGAAACATCAAAAATACCTATCACAACTAACTCTGCCCAATTTTAAAACTGTTTTCAGACTACTTTTCTGCACAAAATTACACTTCTCCGATCGTTCAATGATTTATAGATTTGAAACCATTATTTAAATACATTTCGTTTGGTATATCACGTAATGTGCCTTACTTTTTATAGGTTACTAACACGTGTTTCAGATAAATACCTTATCTTTCATTTTTTTCGGGGGAGATGGCTTATATTTGCATAATTTTATTTGCCTAATATGGCACCCGCCATATACTTTAAAAGTCATAAGCAAATGGCGGTTGTTCAAAACCTGATGTTTACATCAAACAAATAACATTGATTCCATCTGAGCTCACTGCGTGACAGTATTATTGTATTTAATCAAGTCCAAAACCACAATTGTATCTATCAAAAAAAAACTTTGAATGATAAGGCTAGTCAATTTCTACAAAAACCTGATTCGAAATGTTTGCATACAAGTATGTACTACAAGCCCGGGCATAGCGGTAAATATATATTTCATTGGTAAGAAAAAGGGTAATATTGCTGTAAAGCTGTGGAAAACTGACGAAATAAACTTCCCCATGTAGTCATATAGTATGACAAAAAACCCCGGGGGGTCACTCTATATGCTGTTACTACCCCATGTGCGTTCCAAATTTAGCGGGAAAGCGGGGTGTTTTTCACCTTCTAAAGCGGGCCTGCGCGGGAAGCAAATAGGCCCTTTTTAAAATGTTAATGTCTGCAATAGGCCCCCAGAAATAAACTCACAGGGTTGCTGCGCCCGTTGTAGGCCCTCTCTTGCAACAACCACTTCCATACACCGTCCCAGGCCCCGAATTGGCGGGCCCATATCCCCGACCAGGCTGCAAACGTCCGCCTGAACTTTCCATCCGGGACTTTCCTGCCACTTCCAACACGAGCATATGGAGGCTTATTGTAATCGAAAAAATGAAACAAAACGGAACGAAACAAAATGGGATAACACACATAATAAAAATTTAACTGTATTCAGTGAAAATGGGTTTAATACGCACAATATTTCCAAAATATTTTCCGAAAATAATAATATTTAATACGCATATGGCTCGTTTCGCTAAATGCAGATAATCGAAATTCTGTAATCAGCGAAACAAGGGTCTGACACTGTCACAACAGTATATTTACCTTTCAGTCGTGTATTTAAATCACCATGAAACATTTATCGAAAATAACGGGATTTTAATTAGTGAATAGTTCGTTTCGCTAATTATAGATAATTGTTTTATGAAGTTTTATACACGACTGAAAGGTAAAAATACTGCTCAAGTTTCGTCCGATTGTTGTGATTATTGTACCTGTAAGACCCTTGTTTCGCCACGTGATAGCGAAACGAACCGTTTACGAATTAAAATCCAGTTGTTTTCAGCAAATATTTTAGGGTGTTAATACACGACTGAAAGGTAAATATACTGATAGAATTGTGAAAAGATTTCTTATTGATGTCATGGATTATAGAAGAGATTATGTAGATTAGATTCATTTCCTATCTAGTGTGATTGGCTTTATGATTGAAGGTTACGCCTTAGAGTCTTTTAACTGCGTTGTAATTGGTCAAGGTTTTGAAAGTGAATAAAGAGTTTGTAGTTGGTCTTGGCGAGAACACCACGACAGACGCAGTCCTAGAGAGTGCTGGGGAGAGTCTTGACGCAGTCTAGAGGCAGTCTTGGGTCAGCCTTGCGATAGTCTTGGGGACTTTTCCCCAGGGCGCTGTGAAACGTATTTTGTTGTCTGCGTCTATTTGACTGTAAAGTTTAAGTGATTTTCCCGATCCCGTACCTCAAGGGGGCGAGATATAGAAACAGGGACGAGATTCCCCCCTGACAAGTGTGGAGAACCTCAGAAGAGAAGAATTATCCCCTGATAAATCTATCAAATAAATGACTGTAATATGTGTGAGTGTACATATTTAGTGTTTGTTTCCAGTTTTTAACTTCTCCTGATATATTTTGTTCTGTTTATACATCCAAGTTTTTATTATTATTATGTGTGTGTGTATATATATATATATATATATATATATATATATATATATATATATATATATATATATATATATATATATATATATATATTTCTATCATATATATGTTTATTCATTACAAATTAATAGTATGATGTACAGTAACTTTTCGCCCTATAATTTATTTATTCAATTTTTTTTGAACGACTAGATTAGATGCAGCTATTTTCTTTCCCCTATACCTATATCAAATTATATTTTGAAATGATGAAATGAACACATGTACAAATTTAAATGTCAAAAATAAATAAATAAATAAATTCACACTCATGTCAATAGTTCTCATCTTTCTTCGTCAAACAACGAATGAAACCAACACGAGTTGCATACACAGTAACTTGTTTGAGTTGATCTCACTCCACTTGAGTGGAAAAAACGGCAGAGAATCCTCGCAATAGGGGGTAGGATGTTCTCAATATATGCCTGAAATAGGGGGTGTTTTTTCTTCAATATGTCTTCTCTAGGGGGTACTAAATTTCCATTGCGTCCACAAAAGGGGGTATGGATTGCCAATGTGTTGCCAGTCCTAGGGGCCTATTATGTTTTAGCAAGAACGCACATGGTGTAAGGTTTTAATATTGAGTGACCCCCCCCCCCGGCAGAAAACCGGCTCTTAGATTCAAATTCAAGGCACAGTTTGAAGCAGAAGAATCAGATTTAGTGTTCATGTTTATCTAAGCTTTAAGTGAAAGTATACCATAGGAATAATATTTATTAATTTAGGATTCTTGATGGAATTCACATTACCACTATATCTGATTGTGAACTTAAAGGATTTGGCTTTGTACTATTTACCTTTAACTAATTCCTGTAGAGATTCAGCTGCAAACTAATAAAGGAATACATCTGTGATCAATTTGTTCCCATGGGAATGCCGATATATTGTTGAAAAATCTTCCAAACTCAAAAAATATATTGTCATTAAGAAAATCCACAATGTCATTTTAGTGTAGGAACGTATAACTTATTTTTTTGGAACAACATGTTTTATTATTATTATTATTATCAGCAGCAGCTATATTTGCATAAATGTCGATTCAAATGAATACTGGTACAAAGGCATTGCCGGGAACTGGTGTTTTAGTTTATTGTAGCTGGTCATGTGGTGGACAATAACCTAGCTTATTCAGTATGTTTTCATGTTATTGTTAGACGGGATCGCCATCGTCGAATGGTCAATGAGTTGAAGTAACGTTTCTACTATTGGTGTCACATCAAGAAAGCCCAAACATACCGAGAAGGCTTCTTGGAGAACTGAACGATTTTGACATATTTCTTGTTCTATTAATAACAGGGAATACAATAAACAAGCCATGGTACGCAGTATGAGACGGCAATAAAATATCAATAGTGTACATGCAAAATGCAACACATGAACAATCTAAATTCAATTCAACAATTTCTGTAATTGGATCTATGTGGGTTTTGGCAGAAAATTTAAAACTATAATCATGTTCAGGTTGTATGACTTTTCAAACTCCCGCTGTAACGAATCCACCTTCAATTGGTAAACAACTGCCAGTAATCATGTCAGCTTTGTCACTCAAAAGATAAATAACAGCATTGACAACATCTTTCACCTCTGTTGAAAAAGAAAGAAAATCATTCGCTCATTTTACAACACAACATAATACAAATAAATAAATTTACTTAACTAATTAATTAATTAATTAATTAATTAATTAATTAATTGACTGCGAGTATAATACATAAGATTGTGACAAATACCTGCAAACTTATTCATTGGAATACGATTCATCATAACTTCTGACTTGGCAGGATCCGACCAGGCACGTTTACCTAATTCTGTTAGCACCACAGTAGGGTTCACTGCATTGACTCGAATCTGACATGAAAAATGATTAACTTTACATTGTTTGTAGTGTTGCAAATTATTGCAAAACATCGGTGTGCTAAGTAACATAATGAATTTCGGCACACACTTATAAACGCTTCATTACTAGTATATCCATCCATACTAACTGCTATTGCAGACATTTGTTAGCCATGACTCTCGTTCGCGAGTAGATCAATCAAGTAGATATAACATAATCTAACAATATCAAAGTCTATAGTCAGGGAAACCAAAACAGTAAGGAATACATGAATATCATATATATATTTAAGTCTGGTATTTTTTAAGCATTGAGAACATCCTGCGCCACCTGTCTGCGCCGTGACATTAGAAATCATTTGTCTAACGTCAAAAAAATAATATTGATTTTACAATTTTTTTCTCAGATGATCAAAACCATTCTTTACTTTATGGCTTGCCAGTTCTAGTGCCATTGTCTTTGTGAGCATATCAAGTCCAGCTTTTGAAACACCTAAAATAGAAGAATTGCTGTATTCATTATATTTATCATTAGTGTGAGATCGATATATGTTATTACATTTTGTACTTTTCACATTAATAATATAATTGCAGAGTTTGAAAATTTCAAATGTATAAGACTTTGTACAAATATCACATTTATTGTGTAGATAATATTGAAAATAATAATGCAAAATAGGCTCACTGTAAGCTGCGAAAGTTTTGAAAGCCAACAATGAAGCTTGGCTCGATACGTTGACTATGTTTCCACCAGTTCCTTTTGATATCATACTACGAGCCACAATCTGTAAAATCAATTATTCACGTTGAACTTTGTGTCCTAGCTCACAATTACATCAGCAATCGCTTGGGGCTGAACACTTCAGCAACAGTTATTAATTTATTCATAGGCGTCACTTTCTACCAATATATATATGTTTTAAATGGTTAAATTAACACTTGACAATTTGAGTTTGAATTCTCACCTGCCCCACATGCATAGCTGCTTTTAAATTAATATTTAGTATTCTGGGAATAGACATAAGTAAATCATGAATATGTGCCATGGAGAGATGGGGTCATTTGCCCGCCATTTCACTTCATTGATATGTTATACAAATGTTGGTTTAAGAAGTGTGACAACTATACTAAATATATGGTTTCCTGTATGTAATCAATGATTGGCTACAATCAGTACATTGAATTGTAACCAATAGTATGCATATTATTTCAACGAGTTACAATATTGTAATCAACGTAATGAGTATAGTGTAAGTATACGTCAGTGTACGACTGGGAGTGTAATCCTTCAAATATTGACTGACATGAGGAAGTCAGCTCGATTGGTGGTCAAATATCAAAGCAAAACTCCAGTGTTGGTCTGCAAGCAACCTCGGATTTTGTCCAAATACAATATCACCCAACAATTGGGTGATACAGTTTTTGGGAGATTCGGCACACCTTTTTTTAAACTTATAGCATAATCCGTACCATGGGTTTATCTAAATATCAGGGATAGTTCTACAACACGTATTACAAAAATAATGCCTTCTAAGATTCTCATTGTAGCTAGTGTAAT